CTGATAAATCCAGACCAGTCATGGTGGGTCACATTCCCAGCACTTTGGGAAGCCAAGGCGAGAGGATTGCCCAAGTCCAGGAGTTTGAGAGCAGCCCAGACAACTTGGCAAGATGACTCTACAATAAATTAAAAAATCAGCTGAGCGTGGTGGCACATGTCTGTAGTCCCAGCTACTCAGAAGGCTGAGATGGGTCACCTGAGCCCAGCAGGTTAGGGCTGTGGTGGCTGTGAGCATGCCACTGCAGTCGGCCTGGTTGACAGAATGAGACTCCAACTCAAAAATAAAAATTATAAATAAATAAATAAATCTATCCAGATGTCCCATGGATACTCAACAGTCACAATGATCCAAACTCAACTTTTAAAATCTGTTCTTCTCTCTCATGTTCCTAATCTCTCTTATTGGCAAGATCATTCCTCCAGTGGCCTCAGCAAAACTGTCAGGGCTCCCTGCCCTGCCCTGGCTTTCCAGGCTGAGAAGTCTGGTATGGATTCTGCTGTATCCACCCGTTCCCTCCACTCCCAGCCCCCCACCCAGGTCCACATCCCTCACTCAACTCTGACATGGCTGACTAATCAGTCTCCCCTCAGCCTGCTCCTTCCTACCAATAACTGCCGGGTGGATTTCCCATGGTGCCCCATTGTCTTCCTCCTCAACCTAACACTCAAGGTCTTTCACACTTTCACACTAACTTTACCTTCCAAATAGATCCCCTGCCCCAACACCCACCCCCCTGCCCTTATGCAAGACATAACATGGCACCCTTCCTGGGTCTCACCAGAGCCCCATTCTGACTGTGAGTTTGCTCATCCTGTTCCCTTTACAGGGAATCCCCTTCTTGCCATCTTCCCATCTCTCAATCTCACCTTTTTCAAGGCCCAATTCAAATGCCCTTCATATCCTGATCCATTCAGCTCAAGATAATCTCTTCCCGGCCAGGCATAGTGGTTCACACCTGTAATCTCAGCACTTTGGGGGTCCAAGGGGATAGGATTGCTTGAGTCCAGGAGTTCGAGACCATCCTGGGCAACATAGTGAGACCCCCATCTATACAAAAGTTAAAATTTTAGCCAGGTGTTGTGTGTGCACCTGCAGTCCCAGCTACTAGGGAGGCTGAGGAGAGAGGATTGCTTGAGCCCAAGAGTTCGAGGCGATGGTGAGCTGTGATCGTGTCCCTGCACTCCAGCCTGGGCTACAGAGTGAGATTCTGACTCAAAAAATAAATTATCTCTTCCCTTCCTTCAATCCCCCTCATTTCTCCTGTTCCTCTCTATGACACCAGTGTCTTATTTGAACAGATCTAGTGACATGCGAGGTAGAAGATGCCTTATCTCCTCTACTAGACTGTAAGCACACCAAGGGCAAAATGGCCATCTGAATTCCCCTAGTACCATACCTAAAAAATAGTAAGGACCCAATTTACATAGATGAGTTCATGATTATGGAATGCAGCAAGATGTTTAAATGAAAGGGCTTCATCTATGTGAACGATTGTTACATGTAAGGAGTTGTTTCTGGATTTGATTTTAGAGCAGGGAATGAGCCTGAGAGAGCACTAAGCCCAGGGCTCCATCCCTTCAACCCACAGCAGCAGATCCCACCCTGCCCCACTCCTCTGCCACCAGCCGCAGTCCAGGGATGCATGGCGCCTAGCCTTGGCCTTGGCCCTCAGGTCAGGTCAAAGAGAGGAAACAGCAGTCCTCCTCCTGTGTCCATAGGGACTAGACTCCTTCCCAGCCCACCACTCCCAAGCAAGCACCAAAGGGCCGGTTGGGTGCTACCAGACTAGCCTGGACCTCCCTCGGGGGAACATGGGCAAACACACTGGCCAAGGAGTAGGAAGAACTGGAATTCAGCTCTGGTCTGCATGAACTCGCTGTCTGACCATCACTGTAACACCTGGACAAGGGGCAAAACCAGCATTTCCCAAACTGCAGTCCACAGGCCACCAGGCAAAGTGTCACTTTTGTGAGGGGTGCATCAATTAGCATATCCAGGCCAGTGCCACAACCACCATGGGAAACAGGAGATGCCCCCTATGGGCTCATGCAGTGGCACCAAGTGAGAAGTCAGGGAACTAGCTTGGAGACCAGCTTCGGGAAAAGCCTTCTGGGGCCTGCTCTCTTCAGGACTCCTGAGCTTGCTACTTTCCTTCAGCAACCTTCACGGTGGACGGGAGCAACTGGGTGGCTCTGTTGAGAGGACTGGGATGCTGGCATCTTTCTGAAAATAACTAGCTTGGGGTGGGCAAGAAGGGGGTGAGGAAGGAGCTTCCTAACAGTCACCCTGCACCTGCACCCTTGTCTCATGGTGGATAGTTAGCCTTGGCGCTCACAGATAGGCAGGCCCAGCATGTACAATCCCTTGCCACTGGGATGGCAGGACAGGGCCTGGGCAGGTGGGCAAGTCTACAAGCGAGGGCTGGGCTGGACGTGGAGGTGGGATGATGAACGGACAAGAATCCCCAGGTCCACAATCTCTGCATCAAGCAATGGGAAAGACAACAGGAAGCAAAGGTGTCCCAAAGTCAGCCTTGAGCAATAAATGCCAACGGCTTAGAAACCCTTCTTGGCACCCCCCACTCTCTGGGAAGACAAAAAGCATAGCTCTCTGCCCCATGACCCTGAGGAAGCTTCCTGCAGGTGACCTTACCCACCGCCCCCTTCGCAGCCTTTCACACTCACCAACAGACAGACAGGAGCTCAGGAGTTCATGTAGGGTCTGTCAGAAAGAGGCAGGCCAAGGGGAGGAAAGGAAATCCTGGGGGGCATGCCCCGACCTGGGTATGCCTCTGTCAATGACTCACTGTCTAACCTCAAATAAGTATTTTCATTTCTCTGGTTTTCCTTCCCTTACCTGGACACTGGGGAAACTGGTCGGACGATTTCTAGGGTCCTTTCCTCTGGTCTTTGAAGAGCCCTAGCCCCAAGCCCGGGCCCCCAGGCCAAGAGGACAGCCCTGGGAGTTACAAAGGACTGGGGGCAGCAGATCGGAGGGTGGAGACCAGGGAGGCGCTGGCTGGCTGCTTCATCCCCATCCAGGCATGAGCACTGGCAAGAATGCCTGGTGAGGGAGGGTCACTGGGTCTCCTCACAGGAGGATGAAAAGAGGGGGCTGTAGAGCCCATGACTCTGGTCTGGAGGGACACGGGAGCAAAATGTGAGGGGGGAGGGAGCAAAGCTCTGCAGGGTCCCCATCCTGGGAAACAGGCAGGGAGGGGGTTAGAGAGAACGTCTCCTGCCACCCAGCCAGGAGCAAGCAAAATGGGAGGGAGACGAGGACACTGCAGTGGGGTGGGAAGAAGAGGTCCTTTGAGTAAGGTGGCATTTACCAGGATGGCACAATTCCGGGAGAAAATCAATTGCTAGGAAGAACTATCATCATGGAGGCGTGAGGAAGCCACCCTGTGGGCTGGAACCTCCCAGTGAACACAGGAGAAAGACATCTTTTGGGGCACAGCATCTACAACCAGAGTAAGGTAGTGATAAAATCCACCAGGTGAGAGAATCCACAGCCCAAGTGATGAACAGGAACAAGGAGAGAGGAAGCTTCCAAACCGGCCACGGGCTAGGGGTAGATGCACACCACAGGGCTCAGGAGGGAAAGGGGCAGAGAGGGCCTTGCACAAAGCACCTGCCTGCCTCCTCCCCCATAGCAAGAGTCCCCAGCAAGGCTTGTGGAATGTTCCAGATGTCCGGTTCCTTCAATGGAGAAAAGATAAAGGATGTCTCTCAAAAGGCTAAAAGTTCCTGGGGCCCTGCCGTATGGAAGCCCAGCGAAGTCGCAGCTGGGGCGGGGCTGCCGTCGGGGCGGGGCTGTGAGCAGGAGGGCGGCAGGGCTGGGGCTCAGGATCCAGTTACGTGCTGTTTCCATACTTAGCCACCTGACAGCCGCTTGGGACACTCACCACTCGGCCACTGCAGCCCTGCAGAGCCCAAATTAACTCAAGGGCAGTCAAGGGCAGGGCTCAGCAGCACATGCAGCGGCCAGAGCTCCCCACCTTACATCTTGAACCCCTAAAGGAATGGCTTTTGTTGCCACCCACCATCCGCCTTCTGTGCTGGAACTGTGCCCTTGCAGCCCGTTCTATCTCAAAGACCTGAGAGACCCGACTCTGGACCCCACAGTTCCCGGTGCAGAGAAAGACTAAGGGCTGCACCAAGTCATGGAAACACAAGGTGGGAGTCCTAGATTCCTGGGGGGGTGGGGAGTCCCAGCATATCCTTCAAAGCATCCCCAAGAGGAACCCAGAATCAAGAGCCTTAAGAACAAGAGAGGTGGCAAAATGATCTCGTGTCCCCCCACCCCGCCTATAAATAACCCCATGCTGCAACTCAAACCAACTCTCCGCTACCCAAAGTGCTGAGATGTCAAAGGAAAGCCCAAGCACACAGGGCCGAGCCCCCTTTCTGATGAAGGACCCCTCCCCCACAGAGACTCTACTCCGAAATGGGCCCCATTCCTCTCTGAACTTCGTCCAACTCTATTTCCGATCCTACCCCAAACCGACTCCTTCTTGCCATTCCCAAAACGAGCCCTCACTTTGCCTGCTGTGGCCTCTTCTATTCTCAATCATACAAACCCAGGTCTCCAGTTGGCATCAAGGCCTCTGGCCCATCCTCCCCCCAGGTGGGAGGGTCACCCCAACGACCTCCAGCACCAGGATTGGGTTAATTTGTCCTTCTTGGAGGATTCCCCCCATCTTGAATTCTAGAGTCCTCTTTCCCACATCTACCAGTCAGATTCTTCTCTCTGACCCCAGCTCAGGCCCCAGGTCTCAGTTTGATGTTTCCACTTCCCCTGGCCCCCCCAAAAGCCCTATAAATGCTTTTTTGTCTCCAGCACGCAGGCTGAGGAGAAGAGGATCGTGTGACACCAGCTAGGAGCAGCAGTTTGCTGTCAGCCCAACTCCGCACCCCACCTCACAGTAGACAGAAAGCCGTGGGGTAAGCAAGGAGGGTGCAGCCTGGGCCAGGCTGTGCTAGGTGGAGACATACCTCCTTGTCCTGAGAGCAGGAGCGAAGCCACGAGGCAGCCGAGCAGGACCAGCGCCCTCATGGTGACTGCCAAGAGAGCCCAGCTGCTCCTTGCCTCTATTTATATGGCATGTGGCGGCAGCAGGCAGCAACGGGGGGGAGAAGGGTCACACAGTCACTAGGGCAACTGGGCGGACGTGATGGGGAAGAAGCCCAGACCCTGGCCGGCTGTGCAGAGGCTCGGGCTGTCGCGGCTGCTGTCCCAGCTGCTAGACCCCGGAAGGCAGGGCCGGGACTAGATTCTCTCCCCACACCCAGCAGCCCTGGGATCACATTATGTGGGTTACAGGGCAGGGGAGATGGAGATAAAGTGTGGCATCCCTTGGCTGAGGTCTAGGAGTTAAGAACTTGAGTCTTCCCAGAATTGCATGAATTTGACCCAAAGTATGGGGCAGGTCAAGGACCTTGACACGTCTCCATTGGAAGAAGTTGGAGGGCAAATAAAAAGAGATCCTAACTGACAGCCACTGGTCCATGTTCTAGAAAACAGTCAACCAAGGCAAACCTGCAATGAGGTCAACAGCAGGGAGCACGACCTCCCCAGCCTCTGGAAAAGAGAGGGTGCAGGTGCGAGCAAAAAGGACATGCTGAAATGCAGCTGAGGTCGTGGTAAGTTGGGGGATGGGATGATAGAGGTCCGTTTCCAGTGGCGCAGGGGTTCCAGAACATTCACTCGCCTCTGCAAAGTGCCATTTGATGCAACTTTCCTAAGAGCACATGATGGCCCTGAGAGTCAGTTGTAAGAAACCAAGGGAAAGCAGACACTGGCCTGTCTGACCGGGGGAATGTCATCACTGTGAGGGGAAGAGGCAGAAGCTGGCCATGGAGGAAAGGAACTAAAAGTGAATTAGCCATCTGTTACATGCTCGGTGATTGGCATCTTTTAAAACAGTTTTATTGAGGTATAACTGATATACAGCACACAATGTAGATTAAAGGGTAAATCTGATAAATTCTGACATATGTATTTAATTAATTGTGTAGCCATCACCACAGTCAAAATAAATGTCTGGATTCCTCACCCCCAAAATTTTTTTCGTGTCCCTTCATAGTCCCTCCCTACTGTTCCTTCCCAGGCAAACTCTGATCTGTGTTCTGTCGCTATACATTAGTTTGCATTCCCTAGATTTTGCTATAAATGGAATCATACTGTGTCTTTTCTTTTGTTTTTTAGAGATAGGGTCTTGCTCTGTTGCCCAAGCTGGAGTGCAGTGGTGTGATCATAGCTCACACCAACCTCCCACTCCTTCTCTCAAACGATCCTCCTGCTTCAGCTTCCCCAGTAGTGGGAACCACAGAAGTGCACCCCCACCCCTGGCTCGCGTGCATTCTTTTTTATCTATTTCTTTCACTTAGCATAATTACTTTGAGATTTATTCACATTGTAGTGTAAATCAATAGATCCCTACTTTTTATTACTGAGTAGTATTCCATCGTATGGATAAGCCACAATTCGTCTTCCATTCATCTATTGGTGAACATTTGAGTTGTTTCAAGTTTGATGAATATTTGCATACAAGTCAATTTACAGACATAGACTCTCAGTTCTCTTGGGTAACTGCCTAGAAGTGAAATTGCTGGTCAAATGGTAGGTGCCTGTTTAATGTTTTCATTTTATGTTCCCAACAGTTGGTGCGTGAGAGTTCCAGGCCTTCCCTAACCTTGCCAACACTTGGTGTGGTCAGCCTTTTTAACTTTAGTCATTCCTGTAGGTGTGCAGTGTTATCTTACTGTAGCTTTCATTCTAAGTCCTTTATCCAATACATTATTTGTGAATATTTTCTCTTAGTCTGTGGCCTTTTATTTTGTTTTATTATTATTATTATTATTATTATTATTTTTTTTTTTTTGAGTTGGAGTCTCACTCTGTCGCCCAGACTGGAGTGCAGTGGCCGCTCCCGGCCACCGCAGCCTCAACCTGCTGGGCTCTGGCGATCCTTCCGCCTCAGCCTTCCAAGTAGCCGGAATTACAGGTGCGCACTACCACGCCCGGCTAATTTTTTAATTTATTGTAGAGATGAGGTCTCGCCTGCCCAGGCAGGTCTAGAACCCGCGGGCTCAGGCAATCCACTCACCTCAGCTTCCCAAAGGCGCGGGATTACAGGCTGAGCCACCAAGCCCAGCTTATTTTTTTTTTTTAATTGATATATAGGCCGAGCATGGTGGCTCACGCCTGTGATCCCAACATTTTGGGAGGCTGAAGGAAGAGAATCGCCTGAGTCCCGGGGTTGGAGACCAGCCTGGGCAACATGGTGAGACCTCATCTCTACAATAAAATTTTAAAAACTAGCCAGGCAGCCGGGCTCGGTGGCTCAGCCTATAATCCCACGCCTTTGGGAGGCTGAGG